TATTAATGTTTTATATTTAATATTTAACATGTTTATCAATAATTGACCTTATCTGTTAATATTTCTACTTCAGCTTCATTTATACAAGCAAATCAGTAGTGTTGTTGAAGTTGTCGCTACCGTATGTGATTCTGTAGTTGCCACATTTAATATTTGAGTTGCTATATATGAAACCTTGCTTGCTAAATTCTTAATTGCAGAATTCGAAAATAACATCTCTTCTTTATTGACCAAAAATCCAGAAGGATCAAAATCATCATCTAAACGATAAGATGATAATTATAAAGAACAAAAACATTCATTTATTTAATAAATCAGAATTTCGATAGCCTAATTTTTTATTTTTTTTTTTAATAAATCAATAGTAAAATAATACATATATACCGTCATCAATAGCATAAATTAAAGCATCTATAAATTAAATAAAATGATTAGTTATGCTTAAGAAGCTATTCAAATCACATATTTAATATATGTCCGGTACCTTTTCAGTATTGCTTTTCTCTAAATGGTGTTCATTTGTATTACTAACAGTTTTATCGATTTCTTGATTTTTTTATTTGTTGATTTTTGTCTCTTTTTTGAGGAAGAAGCCTCTAAATGTGATTTATTTGCATTATTAACAGTTTTATCGATTCCTTGATTTTGTTTATTCGTTGATTTTTGTCTCTTTTTCGAGGAAGAAGCCTCTAAACAGGATTCATTTGCATCATTAACAGTTTATCGATTCCTTGATTTTGCTTATTTGCTGATTTTTGTCTCTTTTTTGAGAGAGAAGCTAATGCTTGAGAATCTGAACCTATGTATATTATGATCATTTCATCCTTGCTTGTAAGAATATAAAATTATAGGCAAATAATTTAGACAAGTAAAATAATATACCAGAATTGTGCAGCCGAGTTATTTCTTCTGCTAGTAATAGCATAGCATGAGCCTTACTCTTTGTAACAACTGTAAAAAATTACATTTAATAAAGATATATATTATTTTAAAAATAATATTTTATTTACTTACTAGCTGTTGTTTTTCTAGAAGCCATGGCGGTTCAACAAAAAGAAATTAATGTCTTAGTCTTTGTTAGTAAATATATAATCAGATAATTTATTACACGTCATTATATATCACTTTGATTATACGTCATTAATTATTTACATACTACATCTTTTGATTAAGTATTATTAACCTTTCGGTTACTCATTTTATTACATATTATTAATCTTTGATTATACATTATTAATCTTTTGATTATGCATTATTAACCATACTAAATATAAATTATAATTTATTAAAGATAAATTTTAACAAACTACCAAAAAATATC